AAAGTGGTTATATATATTTTCGTTTCTTTATTACGTTAATTTAAAAATATGTTTGGAAAATGTTTTTGTTTGTTAAATTCAATTTTTTTTGTGTTTTTTTTAAGTAACGACCAAGCGGCCAGTGGCAGACAGTGAGTTAATCATAGCCTATGTTTGATCAATTTAGCCTTCTCAAATCATCACCACTTGACTAAAATAAAATCTATAGGCCTATATAAAATGCTTAAAAAAACAATGTTAGTTTAAATGGTTAACCTAGATAAATGTGTGCTATTAGGAGCGTATCCAATTGTTTGTGCAGAGAAGCTAAAGCGCACTTTGCAGGACATGGAGTCGCCAGCACGATCACTTGCATTTTTTTCTTATAACAGTGAAACAACCAGTCATTTTTGCTCATAAAGGTAAGAGTAATACATCATTCGGGACTGTTAAGGGTCTACTTTTATTTGTGTGCACTCACAATATCAGCATACGTTGTGCTTTTTTAGAAAACAAACAGGATACGCTTTCTGCTGTCTCGGTCTTGAGCAGGAGCGCTTCACAAAAATGAACCGAAACCCTGCGAATATTCTATTTCCCCTGGAGCATTCATCATGGTAATTACTTGCTGGAGTTTTGCGGCAAGCTTTGCGTGCGCTTTAACATGGAACTCTTCCAGCACTCGCTGCTGCTGGACACTAAACACCGTCCGAGCCACTCGTGACAGTCACGGTAGCACGATCTCGTGTTGTTTCCACCAGCGCGGCAAATCCTTGTCATCACCACAATAATTGATGGATATCTAAAATATAAACATAAGGAGGAAGCAAGCCTGATGCCTGGCCCGTGTCTGAGCTATGACGTGAAAATTGTCCCGAAGCCATAAATAAATTGGGGCCGTTGGGCTCGGGCTGAACTGCAGGGCTCTAAAGCGCAGCTTGTTGCATTTAAGCAGCAACAATACACACAAAATGACACCAAAATGGCCATCCTGGCCACACAGTTAAATAAATGATAATATTCAGTGATGTGATATGTGGAGTAACGTCTGGCGCAGTTGCAGCTTGTACTTATTACTAAAACAAGAAAGCAAACGAGTAGCATTAATAGTCATTCATTTTAGTTAACATATGCTATGATAATTTGAACAGATTTTTATTCTTATTGTAAAATAATGGAACATTTAGGTCATGAATATTGTCTCAAAAGTCATGGAAAAGTCATGGAAATGTATTGGTAAAAATGTTTACGAACCCTGAATGTAAAATAGCACTGCATAGTCTTCAGTGTAAAGATTAAATATACAGTCAAACCAAACATATGGGACAAGCCTTCAGTCTTGATCAACATGTGAATTATTTGGTTCGTAATTGTTTTTATCAGTTGAGAAACATTGCGAAATTGAGGCCAGTTGTGTCCACAGCGGAGATGAAAATGATTGCATTTATTTCCTCCCGCCTTGATTATTGTAACTCTCTTTTTACTTGTCTTAATAATTCATCCCTGAAACGTTTACAAGTGGTTCAAAATGCTGCTGCTAAGCTTTTAACAAGTCATCGAAGAGATCTCACGTAACCCCAATTTTAATTTCTTTACATTGGCTCCCTGTCAAATTTAGAATTCATTTTAAAATTCTTGTGATGGTGTTTAGAGCATTGCATGGTCCTGACACTTGCTCTTGAAAGGTGCTATAGAAATAAACATTACTTACTAACCAAAATTTATTCTGACACCTTCAACATTTCTCACATTATCACAGTTTATTTGCTATAGTTTAGAAAATGGTAATAAAATATGACAAGAACTCAGAGTTAAACTGTGTCAGAACAAAATCATCTTGATAATATCAGATAACTTTGATAGAAAGGTATGTAATGGATTACAATGAACCAAAAATTCAGACAACTGTTAGCATGACAATATTTAGCTACACAACTATCAATACTTTGTTGACCAATTACCAAGCAATGCTTAATTTTGTTCAGTCTGTGGTGTAAAAAGTTTGCATTAGCAATTAAAGAAAGAAAAAAAAAACACTTAAGCAAAGGGGTCATATGATGCGATTTCAAGTTTTCCTTTCTCTTTGGAGTGTTAC